TATTCTGTTTGAGTGGTTGGCTTTCAGTTGTATTGTTTAAAGGCTGACATGGCCTTTTCTTGTACACTTGTCTCCCTGTTTCAGCCATTTATCATTAACAGTTCTTCCTCCCTTGAAAGAGACCTTGCCCTCAAGGTCAAGATGTGGGAATCTATTCTGTAAGTCCAAGTAAGGTTCCCAAGTTGTATCTTCAAGTGGGAGACCTGACCACACCACCAATGCTTCTCGTTCAATGTGATGACCTTTGCGCACCCATCTGAAATCTGTTATATGGGTAGGTTCAGTTTGAACTTGGCCGTCTTCCAAAAATGATGGAAGGATTGTTGTCAATAGGGATACATGAAATACAGGGTGCAATTTTGACATCGCTGGAAGGTCAAGTTTGTATACCACGGACCCAATGCGGTCAACAATCTGAAATGGGACGAAGTATCTAGGACTCAATTTGTTCCACCCGCAGCCTGCTACTGAAATTTGCTTGTATGGTTGTAGTTTAAGGAAGACTTGATCTCCAATTTGGTACTGAACTGGCCTATGCTTCTTGTTGTATGAGTCTATCAACCATTATTGGGCTCGACGGAGGTGGGATTTGAGCTCTTGTAACATTACATCCCATTGGAGGAGTTGGTCTTCTACTGCTGCTACTTCCGTAGAACCTTTCTCATATGGAAGTAGGGTAGGTGGGTCCTATCCTTATAGAGCCCGGAATGGAGTCATTCCTGCTGCACTATGATAAGTGGTATTGTACCACCATTCAGCCCAATGGAGCCACTTGAGCCATTGTCGTGGCCTATCACCAGCATAGCACCTTAAATAGGTTTCCAGACTCCGGTTAACCACCTCAGTTTGTCCGTCTGTTTGAGGATGGTAGCTAGTAGATTTGAAGAGCTTCACTCCTTGTAACCGGAAAAGTTCTGCCCAGAAATGACTCATGAAAATTCGGTCGCGGTCTGAGACAATGGAGTTAGGGGTACCATGCAGCCATGCCACCTTCTTAGTAAAAATCTCAGCCACAATTGAAGCTGTGAAGGGGTGGGGGAGAGGGAGAAAGTGGCAGTATTTGGTGAATCTATCAACAACTACGAGAATGACGGACTTGCCATAGGAAAGGGGCAGCCCCGTTATGAAGTCCATGGATATATCAGCCCACACTTGTGTAGGAATTGGGAGTGGTTGTAGCAGGCCTGCTGGGCTCTGGGTATCCGCCTTATTTTTTTGGCAAATGACACATTCGGTTATGAATTGTTGGACCGATTTCCTCTTGCCTTTCCAATGGAATTGGGTGGCTAGTCTCTTGTTAGTGCGTAGAATTCCTGAGTGGCCTCCTGCTGGTGATGAGTGGAACAGTTCAAGAAGTTGATGAATATGGGCTGAATCCTGTGGTATCACCAGTCGGTGTTTATAAAACAGCAAGTTATTCTCCACTGTGTACCCTGGGTGGCTGGTAGGGTCCTCCTGGACCTGTGAACGCAGCTTGCTCAATTTTGGATTTCTTTCAGCTTCTTCCCGTAACTGATCCATGAAAGAACATATTGGGGACGTGAGTAGTAGTGGGAATAGTTGTGGTTGGCGTGACAGTGCATCTGCCACTTTGTTAGTGTGCCCCACCTTGTATTCAATGACATAATCATAGCAAAGTAATTTGGCTACCCACCGCTGCTGTTCCGGGGATAACACTGACTGTTCCAACAGAAATTTCAAGCTGTGATGGTCCGTTCGTATGATGAACCTCCTCCCTAGAAGGTAGGGTCACCATCGCTGAACTGCAAGAACAACTGCTATCAGTTCTCGTTCGTATACTGACCTGGCCCATCTTTGTGATGTCAATGCTTTGTTGAAAAAAGCTAGTGGCCTCCCCTCTTGCATGAGAACCGCACCCACTCCCTGGTTTGATGCATCACATTCAATGATGAAGTCCTTTGTGAAATCTCAAAGTGCGAGCGTCAGTGGAGACGAAACAGTTGTTTTTAGTGTCTCAAAGGCCTGTTGGGCCTCCATAGTCCAGAAAAAACCATTCTTCCTAAGTAAACTTGTCAAAGGTGCTGCAATCAGTCCATACCCTCTGATGAATCGACAGTAGTACCCTGTTAGGCCCAAGAAGGCCCGTAACTCCTTGACATTTTGAGGTTGGGGCCAATTTATCATGCTTGCGATTTTTATGGGTCTGCCGCTACAGTGTCGTTTTCAACTACGTGCCCAAGGTAGTGTACTTGAGTCTGTCCGAATGCGCACTTTGACTCCTTTGCAAAGAGTTATGAGTCCTTAGTAATTCCAAGGTAATTTGTAAATGCACTAGGTGTTCGTCCCATGTAGCACTATATACTATTATATCATCAAAAAAACTAGTATAAATTTGCGCAAATGGGGTCAAAATACATCATTCATGAATGCTTGGAAAGTAGCTGGCACATTGGTCAATCCAAACAGCATGACCAAGAACTCATAATGCCCATCATGTGTACAAAAGGTGGTCTTGTGGATGTCGCCACCATGGACCCGAATTTGATGATATCCTGATCTCAGATCTAGTTTGGAGAATATTGTGGCCTGGCCGAGTTCATCTAGTAGTTCATCAATCACCGGTATGAGAAATCAATCTTTCACAGTAATGTTGTTCAGGGCTCTATAGTCTATACAAAACCACCATGTCACATCCTTCCTTTTGACAAGTAATACCGGTGAGGAGAATGGGCGATGGCTGGGTTGTATAATTTTTCTATCAAGCATACCTTTCACTTGTCTCTCAATCTCTGGTTTCTGAAAATAAGGGTAACAATAGGGCCTTACATTTGTGGGTGCAACTCCAGGCAGCAAGGGAATGCAATGATCATGGGCACGTTCCAATAAAAGTTCTTTAGGCTTTTCGAAGATCAACGAAAACTACTGAAGTAGCTGTTGTAGTTGTATGCAGAATTCCTTAGATCTGCTGGAATTATTTCCTTTGGCTAGAATTGGACCGTTCCAATGGGAGTCTATCTGCATTAGAATGATGTGGGCTGGATCTGCCGCTTGTTTTCTTAGAGTGGTGAGGCTAATGGGCCCTGGATCCCTGGACATCTGCCCTTGAATATGCACCTGTGATTTTTCCACTTGAAAGTCCATTGTGAGGCGGGCCCAGTCACATATCACCGGCCCTAGTTGCCTTAACCATTGGACTTTGAAAACTACATCCGCTCCACTGATTTCTAGGGGATGTAGGTCTACCTCGAACTCGTGTCCTTGTATTTTCAGTTTTAACCCTGTGCATATACTGTCATGCACCAGGTTGCTCCCATTAACTACGTGCACCCAGAATGTTGTGGACGGTTGGACCGGAATCGTTAATTGTCTGATCAATGTTTGAGTAACGAAATTGAGGGTGCTGCCACTGTCTATGAGAACCGACACATGGCGCCCTTGTATCAGTCCCATTACTCTCGTAGTTTGAGAGGATGCAAGACCGGTTAAAGCTTGCAAGGATACTTCTGGATATTCTTTTGTCAACTGCCCCCATTCTTGGTTATCCACTAGCTCGCTGATGTCAGGTGGTTCCTCTGTGTTATCAGTTTCGGGCTGAAGGAAGAATACCTGCTGGATCTTGGAATGATGGCCCGGTCCAAATTTGTCACCACAAGCATAACAAATGCCCTTTTCTCAACGGGCTTGCATCTCGGCCCAGGTTAACCTCTTAGCTAGGGCGAGTGGGCCTGAACTGGAGTTGGCTTCCTTGCCCATGAGTCCAACTCCTGGTCTGGAATCCGGTTTGCCCAAGATACCAGGTTCCAAATTCAGTATACCTGGTCTAACTGTGGCTCCCAAAGGTTGATTAATTCTTCTTGCTCGATTCAGTTTATCCTCATGGAGTCGAGCTAAGGCTGCTGCATCAAGAACGGTGGTAGGTTGCATGGCTTTAACCTCCAGTTGCAGTTCTTCCTTTAGTCCGCCGACAAAACTGCTGACCAATGCGTTTTCCGGCCACCCTTGCACGTGCACAGCCAATCTTTCGAATGCCATCTGGTAATGTTGGACAGAGTCGGTCTGTCGTAATTTGGCAAGGCTTTCATCATAATTTTCAAAGGTCGATGCTCCAAATCTTATTGTTAAGGCATCTGTGAAGTCCGCCCATGTGGCTCTTGGGTGTCGTCGCTGGTACCACTGGTACCAGACGAYCGCTTCTCCTTCCAGGTGTGCAGAAGCCAGGGGAACGCGATCAGGTCCAGGCGTGTCATGGTAATCAAAATACCTTTCTGTTCGAAGAAGCCAAGATGTTGGATCACCCCCTGCAAAGATGGGAAACTCGATTCTTGCTGTTCTGTTGGTTCCTGATCCGCTCCGATGACTGGTATCACTGTAATTTCTTGCCCTTCTCGATTCAAACCCAGCGGTATCTGCTCCAGTCGTCCGAGCAACGCAAAGTTCTCCTTCGTTTCTTTAATGTCTGCCGACATTCGCTGCATCTCCCCTTCCATGTTGTCGACCCTGTTCTCCATCGAGGGTGACCTTGTGCTCGGCATCTTAGCTCTGATACCAACTTGTTAGGTAACTGCCTAACGCAGGGATCTTCGAGGGAGCCTACCTCCTGAAGAGAGAGAGAGAGAGAGAGAGAGAGAGAATTCCCAGAATCAATCTGATCTTTCTTTCCTTATTTATAACTGTGATACAATCAGTTACACAAATCAGTTACACCAGCCTATCCACTTGTATAGTTCTGTTATTTATTCTGTTCGAGTGGTTGGTTTTCGGTTGTATTGTTTAAAGGTTGATGTGGCCTTTTCTTGTACACTTGTCTCCCTGTTTCAGTCATTTGTGTCTTAACATTTACTTCTTTTCTAATTATGTTTTTTCATTACTTACTAGAGGCTTCTGATTCATATTACTTTCTCTTCTAAATACTGAACTGCTAACTCTGTGGTATGTACATAAATTTTTTTGGTCCTGGCTTGACATTTAACAATATCAATTCCCGAGGAATTCTGTATTCTGGATACTTGATATTAATGATTGCATTATTTCATTGCTAGGCTTGGGATCTTTATTATCATGTATTCAGACGCATAGACAAGCAGCTTCCTAGTCTTACTACGTTGGACTTGCAGGTGGGAATATCTTTTGTCTTTGAGATGAAAATGTTCTCTTTAAGGTCATTTTCCTAATTTCCTCGTCATTTTGTAACAGTCCGTTTCCCCAGAGTTGTTGAGTTGCCGCAATTTGGAGTTGGCTGTACCTGGGACATACCGTGCTGGTATTTGGGCAACTTTTTCACATACATATATATGTGCATACTTAGTCCTTGGGTCAGATGACACTTAATTTCGGATCCATCTTTTGTTATTTTCAGGATCACCTGTGGTGACAATTGCTTCATTTGCACCACAGCTTGTTGTCATAACATCTAAGCAACGACCCCGAAAGTTGACAATTCATGGAAGTGATGGGGAAGACTATGCTTTCTTGCTAAAGGGACATGAAGATTTGCGCCAAGATGAACGTGTCATGCAGGTCTGCTTCCTTTCTAACAGATAATGCAATTCATCAATTTCCTTACACCATGCACAATGAAGTCCGTGTGCTGATGATTAGGCACTTGGCATCAAATACTATACTAAATATACGAGTTGCTATGACAATTTTGCATTATTCTTTTTAAGCATCCTTGCTGCTGGGAAGAATTTTGGTCATGGCTAACATAAATGCCTTTTTTGTTTCCTTTAGCTTTTTGGCCTGGTCAATACTCTGCTAGAGAATTCAAGAAAAACTGCTGAAAAGGATCTTTCTATTCAACGATATGCTGTTATTCCATTATCTCCAAACAGTGGATTGATAGGATGGGTTCCAAATTGTGACACACTTCACCATCTCATACGGGAATACAGAGATGCTAGAAAGGTTAGCTTACTAAATTTGTATTTCTTTCCTACATATTGTAACTATAGAATTCTATCTTATTGTTTCACATTCCATGTGAGTTCCAGATCACCTTAAACCAAGAGCATAAACTTATGCTAGCTTTTGCACCTGACTATGACCACTTGCCACTTATAGCTAAAGTGGAAGTTTTTGAGCATGCTTTGCAAAATACTGAAGGAAATGACTTGTCAAGGGTATGTTCTTTGTTCTTATGTTCATTTATTTCCAGAAAAAAAAAAAAAAAAAAAAAAAAAACATTTTGTAGTCATGTGGGATAAAGGTTTTCAGAACTGCAGACCATGGGTTCTCTATGTTCTTGTCTTTCATCAGAACTTGTCATCTCCTTTTGAACTAGTTGATCATTACCATGTGGGGAACAATTTCTATGATCTCAGACTGAAGGTTCTTAATACTCTTCTCCTTTGTGCAAATTTATTATGGCTTTTTTAACCAGTAATTAGCATTGGTAGGTTTTGTGGTTAAAAAGCCGTACTTCTGAGGTATGGCTGGATCGTAGGACAAATTATACAAGAAGCTTGGCTGTCATGAGTATGGTATGCACTCATATGTATATTCTTAGTCATTTTTCCATTGCATTGTCAGTACAAAAGCTTATGAAAAAGTTGCATGTGTTACAGGTTGGTTACTTACTTGGATTGGGTGATCGACATCCAAGTAATCTTATGTTGCATCGTTACAGGTACAATTTATTTACCTTTTTTAATTGTATAGAAACAAGTTACATATATTTATCTTTTTCAACCATCAATTATCATGTTTTTCAGTGGGAAAATATTGCATATCGATTTTGGAGATTGCTTTGAAGCTTCTATGAATCGGGAGAAGTTTCCTGAGAAGGTATTCTTCCAAATAGTAGATATGGTTTTATCATAAGCTTCATGGACATTATGGTTCCTTGGCTAAGGCTAATCAAATATGTTAGTTTCCTAATCCTAAAACTGTGATACAGGTTCCCTTCCGCTTAACTAGAATGCTTGTGAAAGCTATGGAGGTTAGTGGCATTGAGGGAAACTTCCGTTCAACTTGCGAAAATGTGATGCAGGTTCTCCGAACAAACAAGGATAGTGTCATGGCTATGATGGAGGTATGGTCATGCAAACTAATTATTATCTATTACTACCTTTAGAAATATAATTTGATCAGCTATCATTCTCATGGCTTTCCTAAGAAATTTCACCATATCAACATATTCACAGGTCACTAATTGAAGATATGATACTAATATTTCATAAAGTTTCGAAAACAGATAATTACACAAAATGCTCCTTTATAATGTAGAGGTAGAGCTGTTTGGTGTAATGTAAGAGATGTATGTACTTAAAGAATGTTGGGTAATCAGGGCATTGCATAGAACCTGGGATAGATGAGCAAAACTGAGAGATCGGATCTGAAAAGTGTCAGATGAATCTCAAGGGAATCAGTGTAACCCTGTTGGCAACAAAATAAGAAGAGAGATAGACTATTAGGATTTAGCCATGTGAAATAAATTATGTTGAATAGACCAGTGTTGAATGACCCAGTTCAGGTCAAAGGTTCTTAAAGGGTAAGGGGAAGATCAACCAGCATTTGAGGCAGTGTAAACAAACAAACAGTGAAAAGAAAGATTTCTCCAGTATGTTTATCTAAGAGGCAATTCTTTTTCTTTTTTCCTGCTCTGTTTTTGCACAATTACAAAAGCTTCATTTCTTGTGGATTCATTATCAAAATTTTGAAATGAACTTGAACTCTCAGAACTTGACATGTATCTATGAGTTACCTTAGTTTTTAATTATTTTGTATTAGGGGTTTTTTTTATAGCAGCTGAAGTTGTTGAACTGAATGACTCATTGCTTTGCCTTTAGTGGATGAAATAATTAAGTAAAAATTATTTTGAGGGCATAGTAACCAACCCAATTTCAGCCATCAAGAAGCTAACAACCTCTTTAAAAATTCATTCACTAAAAAACAAAAGTAATAAGTCATTCAGTCCAACCACTTCAGCTGTTATCAAACAGCCTCTTGGCCATCTTAGTAAACATTTTGTATGCTTTTCTGGAACTAGATGTCAATTGTAGGAAATTTATTGGTCTGCTAATTGGTCACTTTTCATGGATTAAATCTTTATATCATCTTTGATTTTATGTCATGTTAATAGTTCTTAATGCAACCTATTTTCAGGCCTTTGTACACGATCCTCTTATAAATTGGCGACTTTTCAATTTTAATGAAGTGCCACAAATGTCAAGTTTTGCAAGCACGCATGTCCAGCCAGTTGTGAATAGTGAAGAAGCAGCACCAAATAGAGAGCTTCAACAACCTTTGCGGGGTGCTCGTGAGAGGGAACTTCTTCAGGTGATTGTTTTTGGTTGTTCCATTGTATCATGAATATTCTGAACTTTTTTGTGTTGGTTCTATCATTTCATTCTTTCATTTCAATTCGCCGCCTTTAGGCTGTCAACCAACTTGGTGATGCTAATGAGGTTCTAAATGAGCGTGCGGTGGTTGTTATGGCTCGGATGAGTAATAAACTTACGGGACGTGACTTTTCTACTGGTTCTTCTATGCCTGGCACCACTAGCTACATGCAACACACACTAGACCATAGTACTTTGATTTCTGGAGATGCTCGTGAAGTTGATCATGGTTTATCTGTTAAACTGCAAGTTCAGAAGTTGATTATCCAAGCTACATCACATGAGAATTTGTGCCAAAACTATGTTGGGTATGTGCCAGACCACCTTTTCATTCTTCAATTATCGACTTTGGTGTTGAGTTTCAATTGAAAGCTTCTGTTACATTAAAATAACTGATTTTTCTTTTTAAATTTCTTATTAAAGGAGTTTTTAGAAGACCGGAGTCTTCGCCATTTAGTTGTGCTATGTAGAAAATGCCTTTATTTTGAGGCATTGCAATCTATGAAACCTGGGCCCCACATGCAATGTCTAAAGACTAAATGACCTTGTTACCCAAAATACATAAAAAAAAAAATAGAAAATTCCATATATGACCATTGGCTCCTGCATTAGCAACATCTGTAGAACTTATTCAAACTTAATGAAGTAATTGTTAGGCAGCATGTTTTGCAAAAGTCTGATTCACAAAAGTTGCAATATCAATGATTTTAGGAGAGAGAAATAAGAGAAAGAAGTGGGAAAAGAAAACTTAAGAACTTCAAAACAGGGAAAAGTATGTAAAATTGTAAATCATAAAACTTACAGCCATCAAAACCTTTTTAGGTATGATATTCATTCCTTATGCCAACTAAGGGTAGTTTAGTGAACTCATTGCACTAATTTTCCTTGTTTTTAAAGTTATGCCTACTACATCTAAAATCTGATACAAACTCCGTTTTGCATTACTCAATATTTTATCAACAAAAGAGAATATTTTTTTTTATATTCTTGAGTTTTTTATTGAAACTTAGCTTGCTAGAATCATGTTGTCGGAAATTCAAATGGATTTAATGATTAATGAAATATGGTTGGATCTTTCCTCATTAATAAAAACAATCAATAGAAAAAGATAATTGGATGTCTAAAAATCCATTTCAGAAGTAGCTGGGTAGAAGTTTAATACAAAGAGGAGCATGTGGGTAGAAGTTCCAATGGGAGGAATTTGTGTTCCTTCCTGAGAGAGACGAGAGAGAGAGGAGAGAAGAAAGAGGAGAAGAGAACGTAGAGGAGAAGAGAAGAGAGAGCCGATTGAGACTCAAAAACTCTGGGCTGGTCGTTCCCAGCTTCTTATTTATATTCACTTAATGTAATAAGAACTGAAGTTACAAGAATGCCCCTGGCAGTTCCTAATAACAAACAACTAACAAGAAAAAAAGAAAGTTAGCTGTCAGCACCTAGATAGACTAGGCTGGCAACATACTAACACAGAACCAATAAATAAGATTCACAACACTCCCCCTCAAGTTGGGCTGTATATGTCTATCATACCCAACTTGTCACACAACTCATTGTGCCGCGAGTATGGAAGTCTTTTTGTGAGGACATCAACAAGTTGTTCCTTGTAGTTGACATAAGGGATGCAAATTTCCTTTCTTTCCAATTTTTCCCTCATGAAGTGTTTGTCCACTTCAATGTGCTTGGTCCTCTCATGTAGGACAGGATTGTTGGCTATGTTAATGGCTGCCTTGTTGTCACAATAAAGAGACATAGGATTGTGAACAGCAACTCCAAGCTCCCCTAGAAGATTTTTAAGCCAAAGAACTTCAACCACCCCATGTGCCATAGCCCTATACTCCGCTTCAGCACTTAACCTTGCTACCACACTTTGTTTCTTGCTTTTCCAGGTCACTAGGTTTCCTCCCACAAATGTGCAATACCCACTTGTGGACTTTCTGTCCTCCACCGCACCTGCCCAACCAGCATTTGTAAAGACTTCCACCTTTAGATGATTATGCTTACTGAATAGTAGACATGTTCCTGGATACTTTTTTAAGTATCTAAGAACTCTCTCTGCTGCCTCCAAGTGAGGTTTCTTAGGAAAGTGCATGAATTGTCTCAGAACCCCAACTGAATAGGCAATGTCTGGACGAGTCATGGACAAATAAATCAACTTCCCCACTAACCTTTGAAACTATTTTACATCTTTCAGAGGTTCACCATCACAGTTACCCTATTCTTGGTTCTTCACTACCTACTTGGGCTTCCCGTTAATTTCCCAACATGTGTCACATGCATGTCGCGAGCGCCAACAGTGGGTACAAAACAACTTGTCTTTATCATCAGCTTTCTTGGAGTCACTTTTCTTCCCCATATTGTTATTACTCATTGCAGCCAATGTTACCTGTTGCTCCCCCTCGGTTGTAGATGTAAATCAGTCCTCAAATATTAGGTGTAAATTTGAAGATTAGAGGGAAAAAAAGGAAGAAGAGAAGTAAGAGTAGCAATACAAGAGAAGAAGATGGCGAAAAGATAAGGAAGAAGAAGAAGATTTGAATTATCTTCCCTTTCTCCTCTAATCCTTTTTTATTAAGAATTAATGTTAGAGCTGTGTATTCTTAACATCCTCTGTCACAATATCCAAGACAGCCCAAAAGTCTCTACCAAACAATGATTGTTATGTAAACACATCTTGGACGGTATTTATCATTTCAATCAATCTCTCTACTGCATTTGAAGTACGTGCTTTTCCAATTGTTTATTTCCTTCTATTTTAGGAATTTGTTAAAAATGAACAGTGATACTGTTTGGTTGCTGTTTTATGTATTTTGTTCATGTTCTTTTAACTCTCTGGTGTTGCCATAACTGCTCGTTTACCTTGGTCTCATTCTATTCTCATGGAGTGAGATGAGACTTTGTTTCTCTTTTCTCAATTCTTCTTAAAGAAACCAGTTTTTTTTGGTTAATCAGCTTCCCTTTTACCCCCCTCCCCCCTTTTTTTCCCCTAGATTTGAATCCCTTTTTAAAGAAACCAGTTTTTTTATCAAAAATAAACAAATCAATTTGGTTAATCAAGTCTAATTATTACTCATGCATATCATAAATAGTTTGCCTACCTGAGATTACAGAGGAACTTTATTGTGCCTCCACGTCCCATTGTGCCTACCTGGCAAGTTACAAGGGGCCCAGATTCTAGTAACTTCCTTTTATGCTGATTCATGTGAATCTTGGATTATTTAAATTACTGATAAAGCATTCAATAAAATATTGTCTGTTCCTCTACCTCTTGCCTCTAGATAATCTTTTTATGCCATTATTGGGTTATTTATTTTGTTCCGTTTTTTTCAAAAAATAATAATAAATTGACTAACAGTTGCTACTTCTCTCTTGTTTCAGGTGGTGTCCATTTTGGTAAGCAGGGAATTAGTTGTAATATATTATGTATATGGCGTGTACATATCCTCCCTACCCCTTTTTTTTTCTTATGATGTCTGTCACTGTAAAGTCCGTGATCATGTAAGAGACGTCAAAAGGGAAAATGAATGTCAATGTTTCCTATCATTTTCTTCACCAATGTTCGCGCACAACACGCAATAGCCCTGTAACCCATGATGGGATCTCCTGAAAGCAAAAATTCTGCCAACACTATGCAGGTACGGACATCCAGCCGCACAGTGGTAACATCTCTCCACATTTATGGGAGATGTTCTCGATGTGCGGCTAGATTCAGTGCTCTCATAGTTTTTGTTCTCATGTAACCCTGTGTATTATGTGCATGAACTCCGTTTTAGCTTTATTTTAATTTTTGAGTTTTGTAACACACTACCACAGCGGTGAAGCCCGTGACACGCAAAGTGTCGCATACATTTTTCTGGGGCACTGTAGTGTAAATGCAACTTGACCACCTGGGCTTGTAGTTTAAGCAATTCTAAAAAGAAGGGCTTGCTAATGGGTCAAATAGACCCACATCGGGCTGTAACCAACTCCGATACAATGACATCCTCGTCTAATCTATCTTCGAACCCTTGTATTTGAATCCAGCTACATCCTCATACTGATCTGACTATCAAACCTTTGGATCTGAATCCAATTTGAATTTAAACCGTGCCCATCATATTGTCTTCAAAATAACAAAAAATTAAAAAGGATGTTTAAAAAATTAATTATTTTTTACCTATACCTACAGAATAAATGTATATAAATATAAAATATCATATTGGATGAGGTTAAATCCACATATTAGCTGATTCATTGCTTCAAGGTTAAGGTTGTGTTTGGTTTGAAAGGAAGGGTAGGGAAGCAATATGCAAGGTTTGTTAAGGTTTTCTTGCCTTTCCCTACCTTTTCTTCCAAACTAAACACAGCTTAAAGGGCTTAAGCTTTGAGGCGTTACTCATGTCACACAGATCTTACCTCAAGGCATGTGCCTGAGTGCCTCACACTTTGAGGCCTAAACCTTTGTCAGAATAAGATGTAACCATGTAATTAAGCCTCATGTAGCTTGAGGTGTAAAAATATGCCTCAATTGTCAATGATTACTTGGATCCAGTTTGGTTCGTGGAAATAGGGGTCTGGAATCGGAATTGGCCATTCCGATTTTGTTTGGTTGGGTCCCATTCCTGATGAAATGGCATTCCAGCTGATTTCATTTCCCACTTTGATTCCTATTTGAACCAAACAGGCTATTCGTATAGACCATTCCAATTCCAAAGTATTTGGATTCCAGTTTCAACTACGAACCAAATGGACCATTAGTGATTTAATACAATATATATTATGTATTTTATTTATAGTCCAAAATATATAGAAAAACACTTGAATTTGTTATCTTTCTCATTTCCTTAATCAAGTGAGAAATGAGGTTTTTTCTTAATATTCTAAATCTTACATCTTGAGTTTGTTATCTTTCTCATTTCTTTTTCTAATGGACTTTTTTCTTTTTTTATTTTTTTATGTTTTGCATATATCAAATCAACTAAGTTGTTTTCTTTCTTCTATCATAGATCTAGCATCAATATTTAGTTATTATTTTATTTAATGCTTAACCACCAAAACTTATTGCTTATAAATGTATATTTTATAGATATTTGTACCTTCTATCATTTTAATTTGATATATAAGTTTAATAAATTTTTTCTTAAGATTTAAAGTTTACACCTCAACTATGCCTTTAAGACCTCAATTTGATTATTGGTCAGATGCAAGTTTTAACATTCAAATCCCAGGATAATTAGATTGGGAATCAAATTGGATATCAAACATTGAAGTCCATTTACAGTTCTAAACCCTCCTCTTTGTAACACATGGAGGGTCTTGTGGGATCAACCTACACAGTGCATGTGACTTTCTTCGTACGGTCTCTGTATCTCTCTACCTACACACTAAAATAACATTGAAATCTATAATAGTTCGGAGAGTACAAAATAAATGATTTAATGGGCACAGGCACAGTAGAGACAGGGGACCAGGGGAGCTTGGTCCTCCTATGCCCCAAAATCCCTACTTAATTCTTGGATAGTTGACCCCCCTATCCGTGCCCTTCCCACCTCCCCCCCCCAAAAAAAAAAAAAATAAATTAAATTAAATTAAAAAAAACGTAAAAACTGGTTCCACCTTTGTTTAGTCTCTATGTGGTCTCTTGCTGTGCTCGTCTCTTGATCCTCTCCGTCCAAAGCTCAATTGATATAACTAATGTTAATTGATTTTCCCACAATAGAACAACGGAAGTGATCCCTATGTCTAACATGAAGTCCGGATCTGCTCCTCACAGAGCGCACCTCACACCAATTTCACAGCATATCCTGACCACACATTGGGAATATCTTTTGTATTTGTATTTATTATTGATGGTGAGATGTTCCCAGTACAGGTGCGTTCTGTGAGGAGCTGATCCCAATTCTCTAGCACGTTCTCATTCATGCAAAACAAAGGGCTTTACTTCGCTCCTGTCATGGGATGAATCATCCAACCACCTCTGATTTTCATATCTAAACCCTTAAACTCTAAAATTAACATGTAAAATGCAGTTGGTCAGATGCATGCAGGTAGGAAACAGATACTTTCCGCAAAACTGAGCCCATTTTGTGAAATCCTAGCAAGGAACATAGCTGCCTGACGACCTTCTCTGAGGAATTACATTTATCCAAGAGGAAATCTTCTGTCGCACTTCCATCAGATCATGGCGGAGAACACTGGACGAAGTGACTTTTCCTCTGCATAAATAGCACACAAAGAATAGGTCTTAGTCTTTACAAAAAACCAGAGATCTTAAATTCATCTATAGTATATTTTACTATCCATGGTTACTAGTTGGATGTAAAAGGAAACTAGCCTCTGTTCAACTATAGAGTAGTGATAAGTGACGATTCTTTTGGCATCCATGCAGACAGCCTACTAACATGATATAGCACAGTAAGAGGTCAAAAGAATCGATACATACTAGAATGATATATAGGCTATATAGCATAAGAGGCAATTGGTTATTTAGTTCTTGGAAGAAACTTAAGAAAGTAAACACAGCTTAATTATAATGGCTCCAGCTGCTCCGGTGGAGACTGCAACGAAGCAAAAGGAATTCATTTATAGGTCAAAGTGATCATGCTTCTCTGCCCAACTCGCCCGAGTTTGTCTTCGCCTTCCTTGGTACATCTTACCACAATGCCACCAACACAACAGCGAATCCCATCTACACCTTGCAGAAGATCACCAAACAAATCAAAGATTCGAATGTGGCCGCCGGTTTGCTTTTTGGGACATGACCGGTTATTACTTGGCCAAAGGCAGAGGAGGAAGATGAGCAACAGTGCCCCCTTCTTGATATTTTTCCAAAAAAGCTACCCTATTTTAGTTATTAAATAAAAATATTATTTTTATTGATATTAAGGGCAAAAGTTGCCCATATCTGCAAGAAACCCTTTTTTTTTCTTTTTACATCTTTAGTTTGATTATTTTTTAATGAACAACAAATTTGTTGGTGGGAGACCCCAACTCGTCAGTCGCTGCTGTGTAGAATCTACTGCCGTACATGAATCGAGTGATGTCAAATAAGTTCGGCTTCCGGATATTCTCAATGCAAGGCAGTAAATGCTGTTCGAGTCCTGACTGAAGCCGAACTCGTCTTAATGGGCTAACCGGCCGTTAGGCCCGTTACCCTGCTTTTGGTTCCTTTGATTAAAATGTTTAAATCACGTGAGTCGCACGCGCTCATTTGACACGGTAGGTAGTTCAGCATTATCCGTTATTGGCAGAAATGAGAGGCCAGCAGCGTTCATCGATCACTCTTCACTCAGTCCAAGCGGAAAGGGAAAAAGAGAAGTAGCGGGAAAGAAGAATTAATAGGAATCAAGAGAAAAAGAAGAAGAAGAAAGGAGAAAGGAAACGAAGGAATGTCGGTCTCGGCGTTGTTCGGAACGAGGGTCATGGTGCCCAACAAGTCCTTAGCAGTGGGTGCTCCAAAAGGTGGAAGAGCAGGAGGGATGGGAATGGTGATAGAATGTTCGTCTCGGCCAAAGAAGAAGGCAACGGCGCACCACATGAAGACAAGACCAAAGAAGACTCAGCCTTGGGATGTTAGGCGTCGCCCAACTGTCTATCCCCCTCTACCTCCACTCCCTCCCGATTGGACGCTTGCTCCCTCTGATGACTCTGCCCCTCCTCAACCACCACTCGACAACCCATGACCACGAGGACGGTTCACCCTACCCTTCGTTATTATCGTCGTCTTAATGCGTTAGGTATTTTTTTTTTCTTCTTTTGGATCTTTGCTTATTCCCCTTTATGGATCGATGAATGAAATGCCCCCTGATCGGATATTTGATTGACTGTTACTTTAGTACTTGCTATGTTGTTTATAGATTAGGTGGATTTTCGTTCTGTTCTGTAACTTTGCACGAAAATATTTTGGTCAATTTGAAGCGGGTCGGAAGGACTTACGTGATATGCGTTTGCTTGTGTCATTCTTTGGCTCGAAATAAATCTCGAACCCGACTATATACAGCAAAAAACTGAAACGGATGCCTTTACCCACCACCTGTTTGATGGTATACTTCGTACTTATATGTTTCTTTTTCTCCTCTTTTGATTGAAGAGTGTTTTAACACTTCATTGCTCAGCATTTATAGGTTTCATTATATTTATTTCTATCAGCATACAGACTCGGTCTGTAGGGTTTATAAAGATCTGAATAATCAAGATGTCACTCTTAACATAGCGTATGTTTGGTTTTGTGGGAATTTCATGATAGGAGTTTTTGATAAATGCTGTCATATCATCACCAAATCAGCATTTGTCTCTTTATTTCTATTTTTACATATAGTCAGTCATTCACAAAAGTTAATCTTGATTTATATGCCCATCAATGGTTGGGGGAAGCTTCATTTTAATGCCTTCCCCCAACAGTTGAACATTTATTCACTAATTTGCTGATGTAGTGACTAATTGTCAATAAATGCTTTATCAAATATTTTTGTCGATTTTAAAGACAAATTAAATACAAAAGCTATACTAAATACATACATAGTTAAGCTGAAAGCAGAGGGAGGAAAACATATATTTGGCTGAGATTGTCTTTTTGTACCATGTGGTTCGGTCATCAGTGTAAAAAAATAATAATTGAGCGCCAATGATTTTTGGTGACCATTGGACTTTTTTTTAAGGATGGTATTGTGCTTGAGGCCTTTGCTAGCGCTAAAAGCCTAGAGCATGAAAAGCTCTCCATATAATGAATACTAGGGATGGCAACAGTTCGGGTACCCGCATAAATTATCCACATTTTCAAATCTGCCCCAAATCCATTTAACATTTTTCTCCCAATTTTCAAAACCCATGAAATATGTGGCATCCCATATATCGGAAGAGTTAGATTTGTAGATTATATATAATTTATATATTTTTAATATATATTTGAATTTTCATGGTGAATCGTGTGTATCTTAATTTTTCCACCATATCTATATATTGTCCCAAATATAAATACATTTCTTTAAATTATTTCTACAATATTCTTTGCATTTTTAGATGCTTTGAACTTTGCACCCAGTTTTATCACACTAGTAAAATGCAATGCCTCTCTTAAATAAAAATAGTGTAATAGGCCTAGGCCAATGCTAAAGATGCCTATAATGGGATACAAGGGCAAAGGTTTGCATCCTCTCTCAACCCTCTTTATTATATATATATATATATATATATATATATATATGGTATTCGTAATAAATATAAGGCAATTAGTATCTTGTAATTTAGAAATGGTCTTAGTTTAGTACCTAAACTTCAAAACGTGGCACTGCAATATTCGAACTCTTAAAAATTGTCAATTACGTCCCCATCATTAACAATCCATCTATTAATTTTAAAATATCAAAACTACTTGATGATGCACGATCTAGATACTCCTAGCCAAAAGACGATCCGATCTCCAGTTGCGCGGCAAGCTGGACCAATCTGCAGAATAGTAGATCAGAGAACCCGACGAGATGCACCAATCTGCAGAATAGTAGATCAGAGAACATGGGCTTCGTACTCACCAGTGACTTGGTTGACCACTAGTTGTGAGTCGCTAGATACGATGAGGTGCCTTGCTTTCATTTCTCTTGCTAAGGTTAGTCCGGCGATCAGCACTTCATATTCTGTCTCGTTGTTTGACGCCTTGAATCCGAACCGGAGAGCATACTCTAGTTTCACCTCGCTTGGGTCATACAGAATCAGTCCTACGTCGCTCCTCTACTGGTTGGACGAGTCGTTGACGTGGAGGATCCAGGGCTCCTCGTCCCAGGTCGGTTCCATTCTAACTAGGGTTGGCGCCGCGCTGGTTGATGCTCCCGTCGGGTGGGCGAGCTCGATCAACTCGGGGGGTCGTTGTGCCGAACGTGCACTCTGCTACAAAATCCTCCAACACCTGAGGTTTGACTGCTGGTCGAGGCTCATACCAGATATCGTATTCGTTCAACTCGATGGACCACTTCATTAATCTTCCAGACACCTCGGGCTTGAGCAGAAACAGCCTCAGGGGTTTGTTAATGAGAACAACGATAGTATGAGCCTAGAAGTACGGGCGAAGTTTTTGGGCTGCTATGATCAATGCATATGCTAGTTTCTCGATCTTCGGATATCTAGTTTCTGCATCCTGCAAAGTTTTGCTTAGTAGATGGGTCGTTGAACCCAATCTACTTCTTTGATCAGTACCGAACTAACCACTTCATCGCTCGCAGAGAAGTATAGTTTTAACACATCCCCTTCTTTGGGTCGAGTTAAAACTGGAGGGGTACCTAAGTATTTTTTCAGCTCGTCAAAAGCGAGTTAGCATTCTTCAGTCCACTCGAAATCCTTGCTCTTTTTTAAGGCTTTAAAAATGGGTAGGCACCGATCCGCCGATTTAGATATGAAGCGGCTCAAGGTGGCTATTCGGCTAGTCGGCCTCTGGACCTCTTTTATTTTTCGGGGTGGTCTCATATCTAGAATCGCTTTTATTTTGTCTGGGTTGGCCTCGATGTCGCGTCGGTTGACTATATAGCCTAGAAAACTACCCGAAGTGACTCCGAAGACATACTTTTTCGGATTTAACTTCATGTTATATCTTCGTAAAATTTGAAAAACATTTTTTAAATCATCCAGTAAAGAATTTGAAAACTAGGTCTTCACGACCATGTCATCAACATAAAATTCTACTTTATTGCCGATCAACGGCTCAAAAATCTTAATTACAAGGCGTTGGAATGTTGCCCCAGCATTTTTCAATCCGAAGGGCATGACCTTGTAACAATATAACCCGAGCTCAGTTATGAAAGCGGTATTGTCTTCGTTAGTAGCATCCGTCCTAATCTGGTTGTAACCGGAATAGGCACCCAGAAAACTCAGCAACTCATGCCCTGAGGTTGCGTCCACTAGGCGATCGATCTTGGGCAATGGGAAGCAGTCTTTCGGGTAGGCTCTGTTCAGGTCGGTGTAGTCGACGCACATGCACCATTTTCCATTGGCTTTTTTACCAGAACCGGGTTAGCCACCCATCTCGAGTAATGGACTTCCCTGATGAAGTCTGCCGCTAGGAGCTTCCCAACCTCTTAATCAACTACCCTCCAACGTTCCAGGGCGAGGTTGCATTTCTTTTGCCTTACTGGCCTGACTAAAGAGTCAATATTAAGTTTGTGAGTTATAATTTTTTTATTAATCTCAGGCATCTCTGCCGCGGACCAAGCAAAAATATCTAAATTTTTAAGTAAGAAACTTACTAGTTGGGTTCGAAGTGCTTCGTTGATAGAGGCACCGATATGAAGAGCTTTGGCTGGTTCGATGGCAGAGATTGGTATGTGGACCATCTCTTCTTTCGGGGCAACTCGTTCGTCGGTATACACCACCGGTCACTTGAGCTCAACATCGTCTGCCAGCTTCACTTTTCCTTTCAAGGCAGCCACATAGCATTTGTGGGATTCGAGCTGGTCACCTCGCACGACTCCCACTTCGTAATCAGTTGGGAATTTCATTGCTAAGTAGTAAGTGGATACTATCGCACATAAAACATGCGTGATAGGCCAACCTACTATTGCGTTGTAGGGGGAGGTAGTCATGACTACCAGGAATTTGTGCTCGAATCGCACAATGTTTGGCCACGTGCCAGCTTCCACGGGTACTATGATTCGACCAAGAGGTCTGACCTCCTCGCCGCTGAACCCTATCAAAGGTGTATCTACCGGTTTTAGGTCGCTCTGCTATAACTGTAATTTGTCAAAGGTCTCTTTGAAGAGTATGTTTGTTGAGCTGCCTGAGTCCACCAAGATGCATTTTACCTCAAAGTCGTTAATTCTTAGCTTCACCACTAAAGCATCATCATGAGGGTACTGGATCTCGCGTGCATCGTCCTTAGTGAAGTAGATCGGTTCTTCGAGTCGAGGTCGCTTTGGCGGGTTTTCACCTTCGTTCTCCAATTCGCAGACCGAGGTCCTCCTAGCTGTCGACGTACATCCGACGATGATGAACCCACCGGTGATCATGTTAATCACCCCGTGGACTGGTCTTTCCTCTAGCAACTGTCGCGGTGGTTGCTCATTCTACTTGTTGACCTCGGGGCCATTCCTCCTCTGGTCTCCTATCGATCTACCTGTCGGTCTACTTGCCCCCTCTCTTCTCACAATATGTAATTCTTCAGGTACCCGCGGTGGATAAGTTCCTCTATCTCATCGCGAAGATTCCTGTAATTCTCCATGTTGTGTCCATGATCTCGGTGGAAATGGCAGTAGACATTTAGGTTTCTTGTTGCCAGGTCTCCCCTTAACCTGGGAGGTCATTTGACGAAGGAGGAATCCTTAATAACCATTAAGATCTCTCCTCGCTTAGCATTCAAAGGCGTATAGCTTGTTCTCTCCACAGGTGGGATCCTGGAGCGCCGACCTTGCTTGTGGGTATGCGAGGGGGACCGACTTCTTGACTTGCTTCTTCCCCTGCTCGGGGAATTTCCTTTATTTCTTTTCTACCCACCATTGCTCATTCCTTCATTCTCTCTCTTCCTCTTTTTCAGCGGTGGGTTGTCGAACTTTTGGTTGATCTCCTCCTCGGTACTAATGAATTGATCTGCTAGCTTGAGGAATTCAGTGATATCTTTTGGTTTGTTAGCTACCACGTGCCACTTGAACTCTTTATGGGTGATTCCTTTCTTTGTCGTAGTGAGTTGCACCGCTGGATCGAGGTCTGGTATCTACAAGCAAGTATCGTTGAAGCGCTTTATATAGTTTCCGATTGATTCTCCTTCCCTCTGAACCACGTTCAGAAGGCTTTCTTGCAACTTCGGGCACTTCTTACTGGTAATGAAGTGAGTAGTAAACAGATCGAAAAATTGGGGCCAGCTTTTGATGAACCCGGCGTGGGGTTCCGATTCCAAGTTCGGACTACCCCCTAAACGTAGTGAAGAAGGCCACACACATGTAGGACTTGTCAGCCCCAGCTAGGTGCATCTGAGACTGGAAGGAATCCACATGATCGTTGGGGTCAAACGACCCGTCATACTTGTCTAACGGGGGTACCTTGAAATCTTTCGACATCGGAGTTGCCAAGAGCTCGGGAGACAGAGGAGATGACCGACAAAGTAATGGAGGCGCAGTCTTCGTAGCCACCAAGCTCACTTCTTCCCTTTCTTTGGCTTGCTCTGCTTGTTGGCCTAGCTTCGCCGGTGAATTGTTTTTGGCCGAGGAGCGACGTGTCTTGCGACGTCACTGTTGTTGCTTCTTCACCGGCTCGGCATTGGTATTGTTGATTTCGGTCTGGTCTGGTATTTCGGCATCACTACGGACATTATCATGAGGTAGATCCTGGTTCCTTCTTGCTAGGTTCTCTTGGTTGCGGGGTTCGCACTGGCTATCACGAGGGATAGAGAGGTCCTGCCTCAAGTTTGCACCTCGGACTTTGGGCTGATTATTATCTCCTCGTGAGCGGTCATTTTCCTGCTAGGAGTGCCGAGGTGGATTGGCCCTGTTGAGCTGACTATCCCCGGACCTGTTTCTAAAATTTTCTTGCGAGGCTGGAGAAGTGTGCTGACTGTCTCTCCTCCCACGGGGCGAAACCTGACCCCTGGGAGGAATCGGTACTTGTGAGGTCCTCTCACCCCGATGGGGGGATCGGTTGACGTTCTGACTAGTTCCTAACTGATTTGGGTTCTGGCCCTGATGCAACTCTAGGTGTCGGAGTGGAATCGGTTGTAGTGGTGGGAACTATTGCTGGTACTATTGGTACAGATAGTACTGTTGCATGTAGATCTGTATCGTCCGAATGCACTAAACGAGGTCATGGAATTAGGAGTGCCCGATTCCAAGAGGGACCACAGATGGCTCGAAGAAAGTTGCGCCCACTGGGGGTAGCAGAATGCTCACTTGCATAGTGCCCCATAGGACCTTGGGGGAAGGTTGATTGTTGATCTTGCCCCCCTCCCCCCGGTGACGTTCATCTCAATACTTTTTCTGGTGTTGCTAGAAGAGTCCATTGGGGTAAATTGAAAAATAAAATTGTAACTAAAGTTGGGATGACCTTTCGATCGTATCCCACAGACGGCGCCAATTGATGATGTGCGATTTAGATACTCCTAGCTGGAAGACGATCCGATCTCCAGTTGCACGGGGAGCTAGACCAATCTACAGAATAGTAGATCAGAGAACCCGGGGTAGCTAACCCATCGAGGTCGCTCCGATGCTTAAGTCAGTACTTATACTGTGAATGCGAGCTGAATACTTGAGTGCTTGAATGCTAGTGAGTAAAATAATCACACGTACCATTGCCTTGAGGTTTCATGTCCTTATATAATGGAGTAGTCGTGGGCCTTATGAAAGAGCTCTGGGATCTCCGGGCTATGTAGATAAGGTTTGTTCCATTTTTTAAGGAGAGCAATATGTTGATTAGGTTTATCGTTTACCTCCGATTCAGGCGGAGCTAGGACGAGTCTCATCATGATCCCAAGAAATTCGGGGTCCATTGGGGAGGCCTTTGGAGTCGATTATGTGGTGTTTCGGCTCTTTAGCTCCGAACTGGCACTTCAATTCTTTAGCCCCGAACTGGAATGGGTATTGAGATGTCTCTACGTCGAGATGGTTTTTTAGGTCGAGGTGGTTGGATACTCGAGCTCCGAATGTTGTGAAATGGGTTCGTTTGACTGAATTGTCACCCCTCGAGCAGATCGCATCTACGTGTCCCCTTCTTACTAGGTCATGTCAAATCACCCTTCATCACTACCCTTAAAAGAAGATGTTGTTCTTGAGACTGAAGGCAAAAACAATTTTATTCACTATAAAAAATCATGGGATTTAATGAAAGCAGAGTGATTTTGGGAATGTACTCGGGTCTCATTGGGGTGTGTGACTTTGTAACAGCAAAATTGAAGGCAGTACTTTATGGGATGCAGAAATCTTTGGAAATGGGGTTCCGGAAGCTAATAGTTGAAGGCAACTCCAAAATAGTAATAAATTGGTTTAAGCAGAATGAAAAGATTCCTTGATTTTTCAGAAACAATTTCAAACAGTTCAAGAGGTTCTCAAGGGATATGCAGCTGATATTTCAATGGGCTCCTAGGTCGGCAAATGGCTTAGCTGACCATCTAGCAACGCAAGGGGCAAACAGAGCAAAGTGCTTCTGGGCTCAATCGTGAGACTCATCATCAATTTGTCTATGTTTTCTATTGTTGGTAGCCGAGGCTGCCCATGTTTCTGTATTATCTTTTTTTCTCCAAGTAATGAAATCTACTTTGATTACTGATCAAAAAAAATCATGGGATTCAACTACTTTAGCTATTATCAAACAACCCTCAGCAGTCTCAACCCTTAGCTATTATCTACTCGATCAAGAGTGACTCTAACAGCAGCCATGGCAACCACAATGAAGGGGTTGTCACAGAAGGAGGCGACATCCAGATCATGTTGGCCGCGGACGTGCATCTCGGAACCAAGTATTGAGATTTTCAGGTAGAACGTTACGTGGTATGTTGATATTGGGATTTCAGCCAATAAGGGAAAATACAGCATCGGATGTCTATTTTGGTTATTGGCATTAGTCCCATCGTACAAGAAGGATGAATCCTGCTCGTGGATTGATACCAAATTCATGGACAGGATGTGATTTATAAGGGGGGCTACTAATAGACTATGGGGGTTATAATTCAGTATTCTGCATTGGGCTGCAGTGTAATTAACCCTTCTTCAAATGAGTGGACTATTATTAATTCTGCTTGGTTTTAACGTTTCTCCAAATATGTGAATTCAGAAAGACAAAAACAGCTTGTTCGCTTCTCCCTCTTTCTCTCTTGATTCCTCCCCTTTAAATACCATCTCTTAGCCCATTCCCAACGCCTGATCATCTCTCTCTCTTTCTCTCAACAATAAAGAAGTAATCTCAAATGGCCAACTCTTCTATAGAGTTTGATCTGATTCTTCTTTTTGGCTAATTTGTTCTGGAGTTTCGTGCCATCGGCTGTCAAATCCTCACAAGTTTTCATGCTATGAATCTTGGTTCAATTTTAATGTAGAAGACAATTAACAGCGTCATCTTCGAAGGATAATTTTGACCTTTTTTAAATTTTATCATCACGTGATATAGATAACTGACCAACTTTTAACAACAGAGACTAAATTGACGGCTTTTAAAGTCAGATACTGCAATGACACGTTTTGAATTTCTATACTAAATCGAGACTTACCCAAAAATACAGGGTATCAGGAATTTTTCCTAGATATAATCAGTATAAAATATCCTAAAGTTAAAACTCAAACCTATAGAGTTTTAATCTAAAATCTAGGCTTAGCAAAGAGTTGGCCCAACCCGTGAACCCCGACCCAATCCAACCTGAAAAGGCAAGGTTAGGGTCTCATATGTAGTTACCTGAATGTGAGAATGACCCAACCCTGAAAAAATTAGGTTGGATTGTGTTGGGTCATGAGTCAACCCATTGACCCGATTGTCAAATCTAATTGGGACTATTTATGCATTGCTAGAAGTCTCCACTCTTTAATTTTTTCTATTTAGTCTTTACTCTTTATTGTTCACTCTTTGAGTTGTTAAATGTTCAAGTTTTTTTGTTTTATATTTAGAATTTTAAGGTTAATTCCTTGGCATTTTTATATATTTTTTCTTTAATTTTTTAAATTTCAATTACTTTTTGAGATGATCCAAATTGACCCATGGGTCAACCCTAACACATTTAGGGTTAGGGTTTGGCATTCGGCAACCCAACCCAGGTCTACTAAAATCCCAAACCTAGGATTTTGATAAACGGATCAAGTACCTTAAAATTCCCGTTGACATCCCTATTCACAACTCGTTTAAGCAATGCCTTTCATTTCTACAGATAGGGGAGAGCGGAGCTCAAGTATTCCCTTGTCACCACGACACATTGACACTCCCCATCTATACCTGCCTGCCGATTTAGGCACGTACACCGAGACAACTGAAGCAGATCGAGACCAATAGCGGTGTTGTCGGAACTCGAGAGCCGAGACTACCAGATACCTGACCGGTGAACTGGTGAGCTCATTAGTTTTTTCGGTCCCGGTTATTTGATGGTTTTCAGAGGCCGAACGATCTAACCAGCCAGTTAACCAGTAAAACCATGATTCAGTGAGCCTTGAAACATTTGGTCAAGTACACATGAATCCCAACGTGAGGTTGATGTGGTGCTCACAGAGAAGGAAACGAGCATAGATGTGGTATCTGAAGAACAAACCCCAAGAAGCCAGAGTGGAGCAATGCAATTCCAAATTAAGATCTATTTCTATCAAAGATGATGACAAGTAGGATGAAAGCTGGACCAAGAAGAAAACTCCACCTTAAATTGCAAGATGATAAGAGGCTTTAGGAGAGGGCATGTCATCATGCCAGTCAGTAATTACAAGTTAAAAACAAGAGTCCACTTAACACTGACTCTCGGTGTAAAACCTCTAGCTGCAGCCACATCTCACAAACAATTCTGTACAACTAATTCTTGGATGCTTGAAAACCCTTTCCAATGCGAGAAAAGCCAGGAATTTTGACTGCAATCTCTTACGAGTTAGAAGTACGCCATTGTCCGGTAACAGGATCCTTCAACACTTGTTGGCAGCACGTTTCTTGCACTTGCCTTGCACCAGGCTCAGCAGGAAATCTGTAAATATGTGCTCGTATTCTGGCATTTTCCCGTATCCTGAGATGGTTTCAAAAGCTCAATATAACACCTGTATAAAAACCAGAACACTAGATCGCATACTACAACGATGAGAGAATTTACTTTAGTCATGCATAGAATATACGGGATGAACCTGAGAATCATCTTTCCAAACAATGGGGGTGGTAATTTGATTTTGAGCACATACAAATCTTTAAGGCCATGTTTAGCTTGATAGAAAATAAGAGAAAAACAGAAAAAAACACAAGTAGAGTTTAGTTTGATAGAAAATTCAAGCAAATACTACCTCCCTTTTGATTATGGTTAATCAAACTTTAAGGTGGCCACCCCTCCACCTGGAGTAAATTTAGGGGTCTAAAAAAACACAGCCAAAAGGTGCCCATCCCTATGTATTAATTTTTGTCGGGGACAAAGGTATTTAAGGGTTGTTCAGGGGATGTACCCGGTTCACAAAAGAAAGGGATTCATATCCCAAGTGAACTTGAATTCCACCCTTTAGACAATTCAATTAACTTTTGACAGAGGGTGGGCCTTGGCAACCTGGGTTGCTCCATTGCAACCTGGGTAACCAGGGTTTAAATCTTGAAAACAGCCTCTCTATATGTGCAGGGGTAAGGCTGTGTACATCTGTCACTCCCCAGACCCCAAATTGGCAGGAGCCTCATGCACTGGGTTGCCCTTTTTTAATTAACAATATTGGGACATTTTAAAATTTGACAATATGGGTTAGATCCCAAAGGACCATTGTAATTGAACTGTAAAACATTGGATATAGGTAAAATTAGCAAGAAATGTATTTAAAGTAAACAAGATAGGTTCTTCAACTTTCTCTTACCAGGGAAGTAGTTGATGTCAATGACATAAAAGCAGTCTCTTGTACCATGTTCCCGGATTATATCTATGTTGAACAGATGAAGGCCCTATACATTAAAGTTCAATAGTCAATCGAGTACAGACCAAATATGAATTGAATTAACACTGCAAAAATAAAGAGGAAGAAAAAATTGGAGGGAGGATGGGAATTACCAGTCTGCGACGAAGCTCCCTTGCTAGCCTCTCAAGTAAAGGTCGTGGTGGAAGCTCTGTTAGAAAGATACAAGTCAGTATCTTTTCTAGCATAAACTTGAAATGTAAAAGAAAAATGCTAGAATTCTGATCAATTCTAAATTGATGTTTACCAAGATAGAGGTTTACATGGCAGACACCATATGGAGGAGCACCAAAAAAACATGTGCACAGATAATTTAAAAAAAAAAGTCTGTCGAGCAGGACCACCTTTTGAACCCCAACCTTGCAAAAAAAGTAGAAACCTAGTAATATTTTGCAGTGCTTTCTAACCTAACAAGCACAACTCAACTAAACTCAAAACAGATTTATCCCAACTATTTCAGATTAGCTGCACAAATCCTGTTTTGCCAATTAAGAGTCCGAGCAAACAAAACTAAATACAACGCACGGCAATAGAAGAACTACATAAACAGATCAAAAGAAATAAGTGATCTCACCTGCGACACCAGGGTCCAAATCTGCATCATCTGCAGAAGCTGCAGCACAAGAAACCCTTGGGAAATGGAACACACCAGCATTATGTAAAAGCTCACATTTGTTGACATCAGGTAGAGAGAAACGACGAACAACTTTTATAGCTTCACCTACAATGTAAACCTTAAACAGTACACCTCCTACAACCAGACAATTAAAGATGCACTGTGTTAATTTATGTTAGAGCTACAGCAAGGGTGATAATGACCGCTGCTAATAGAGCAACATACCATGATTAACAAACTCCTGTAGAACCAAGGGGGGTTCAAGTTTTGCAAGGGAAAATTGATCATAAGCAAGAGACAATTCATGCGACTTTGCACTTCCATCCACAACCAGCGGCTTTGCAACTGAAACAGAAATCAACCAAACAGACATAAATGGTTTCCTCAATCAGAAAGAAAGAACAACTACAAAAAAAGATGAACAGTAATATTTCCATTGACACCAGGAAGTATCCAAGCAAAAACAAGGTGTAATCAGTTTCCCGACACAAGTTTCTTCTTTTTTTTTTTGGAGGGGTGATAAACAGCTAATATTGAAACATGAGCCTATTTGCACAATAACATGGGAAAGTACACTTGCACATAAAAGCTAACCTATAGGTAGCATAAGCCCAGCTTTAGAAACCGCATCAGGGATTGATGATGGATCCTTTTTAATAACTAATTGCCTTGGAACACCAACTTTTCCTACAACAGTAGTTAATAATTAGTAAACTTAACCTTAAAGAAAAAAAATATACACCTTACAGTAAACCCCCCCACACACACACACACAAAGTACTATTACTAAGAAAGTAAGAAAAATCACACAGGAATTACCATAGCAGTCGGACAAGTTCATATCAGCCACATCCTTTAGCATGGACTGGCGATTATGTACATGTTGTATAGCATCAGGAGGGTCAAGAACTGTAACTTCTGGATGCTTTTCTCTATAATCCTTCACAAAAGAGAAGGTAAGTTAAGGACAGTAAGCGCCACATGAACAACTTTCAAATAAACCAAAGAAAATGATCAGAAAAACCATGTGAAATTTCAGGCACAAGTGAGGAAAAAAAAAAGAAAAAAGAAACTGATAGTGAGCATAAGAATTCAGAAAATTGTGAGATGAGACAGAACAGCCATTTCCTGCATAAGTGATTGAGGTTGGGTTTGTATCCAGTCCAAACCTCCCAAGACCCAGAAGAGGCAAAACCAGCATTTGGTAATGGCCTTTTTAATGTATCTCTCTTGCTGGGTGCAGTTCTGCTCAACAAACAAACAGGATAATGGCCACCAAGGCAAATACCGAAATATGTATGAAACCAGTCACACCATCTCAATCAGAGGCGTCATAGCTACTATAGGTTCAGAACCATACTTTCTGAATGCCCTTCCCTTTCCCAAGGTTTTTTATTTAATTTACTATTTCTGGATCTTGTTTATCCTAGATTCTTTCCTAAGACTGTCAAGAAATAAAGCCACTCATCTAGGAAGAGGAAATGTCCCAATCTCTCCTTTTCTTCACAAGTTACATACTCAGATACCTTGAGCCTGGTTCTAACACAAGCAAATCAAAAGCCCTAGGCTTGCACAAGTTATGTAACCCCAAAGAAGAGAAGAAACAATTGTAAGAACCCAAGGAAGGAGGCACAAAGCAAGGCACATGCCTGAAATCATCTAAGCCTTGTCCCGACTATATGAAAGATATTTCACCATTCCGTTCAATTTAGTGCCATTTCATCATTAAATTATGGACACTTAAATCATTTCTTATTACTTCCACCCAAGTCTGCTTATGATACTGGAGGAGTTTGATCAATCAAACTCCCCCTGGTTGAAATTTGATGAATACCCCTGATTAGTTGCCACTTTTATGATACTAGCTGATTAGTCAAACATCTTCCAGTATCATACCTCTACATCATCATATATATTGTCATTCATACATACATATATACATAAGTTTCAGAAAATATAATCATGTTAGCTCGATAGGTTGGAGTGTCATGCCATTAACATAAATTTGCAGCCTTGCGGGTCCCTGTCCATAACCTAAACTGTTTAAACTCTAAAAATCATAGATACAACTCATAATAAGTAAATCATCAAACATCAAATTCAAGGTTAGCTTAGCAATAAGGCAATTGAAGAGCAAAGAGATTCACATGAGGCACCCCCACAAGATTAGCATCACCAGTTGAAGCGTAAATGGTCTTCTCTGCACATGGCCAAACCATCTTAGTCAATTTCCCTCATTTTATCACTCATTGGAGATACTTGGCAACTCCTTTGAATGAGTTCATTCCTAACCCTGTTGTTTCTAGTTTTGTGTATGTCACTAATTATCTACTTAATTATCAAAGGACATGCCTTGGAGAAAAATAAGACAATATAAGGAAAAAAAATTCATTCAGACAGGCAATCACCAAGACTGCCAAGTACAACTATCCAATAAGAAATTATTTATAGATTGGCATGAAAAAGGAATCTAACAGGTAGTTGTAATTTACCAGTCACATTTAAAACACACACACACACACACACACAACGCACTTGCCATCTCTCTCTCATCACAGAAATAAATAAATGAAGAAGAGGATTGCTAAGACAATGTTCAAAATGTGAAGATAGGTATTAACTTTGAACCTACTCCATGCCTAGGTTCTCAGAAGCAGGGACTGGATCAGAAGCAGGATAGAGAACAGAAGCATTGGAACATCAAATTTGAAAAGCTACAAACATATGAAGTGGGAATAGAGTGTGTACATGTCTATGTCTATGCATATGTTTGTCTGTGTGTGTATGTACTTATTACTGAAAAAAACAGTAATCAGGTTAAGGGAACCATATGTAATTGTGTAAAGTATTATGGTTATTTATTTATTTATTTATTTCAATTCTTTAACTTTCAAAAGTTAATGTTAAATGGTGTTTTTTTTATGAATTAGATCATTTTTAATAGAGAAAGATGAATAGGTCCACATGAAAGGAGATAGCAACATGAGGGAGAGGAAGTGTTGTGGAGTGGGGAATGGTGGTGGATGTGTTCAAATGCGAGGGGTGGGGGTTTTGAAGTGGTTCTAAACTTCTAATGCATGCCCATCCAAAGACGTTTGAAAAAAGAAATGAACCATATATCATTCTTTCAGTCCTAAAGAAAATAAAAATATAAATATAAAATCTCAAGATGTGTAGATTCCAGTAAGATGGTTCTAACAACTGGGTCTAGGATATGCATGCATTGAACATTGAACCATAAATACATAATTTCCAAGTGAACAAGCAAGCTATATTTGATAACCAAAGATGCATCCAGCTATCTGTATCCAATTAAAAGGGGCATTAACAATAAAAAGATTATATAAAAATGATCCACAAGGAAAGGGAAGGGAAAAAAGAAAAGTTGATAAGAAGCAATAAGAAACTCTAAAATCTACCATCTTAATGGGCATTCTGTATTATATTGACATTTCACTTCCAACCAGAACCTCCAACAAAATCAGTTCATAAAGCAAGTTGGGCATGGGTCCAAATAGGCATGCAACTCCAAAACTTGCCAAGAACAAATTTGATCAATCTAACAGATCTATACGTGCATCATATCATGTAGCTACATGTACTTGGAATAAAATGAAGAAATGATGTACCATATAATAACACTATGAACCACTAGTCCTAGTTGTCTTAACAATCTGAAAGCTTCAGAGTAAGCAAAAGGAGGGAGGCCTTAGCGTGATTGCTGACCTTCTAGAGGTTGATTGGCATCAGAGATGACTTGTTCTGAAACAAAGTAACAAGTTCAAAGGAGTATAATGTTATAGGCATTGAGGGACTCTCTTAATTCATTGTTAAAAAGCTATTCATCACTGGATTAGAGAGAGAGAGAGAATGCACTCAGCAGGCTTTTGTTTATAATTACAATTTACAACCTGAATTTATGAAACTAACCCTAGAAGTAGTCTTCCAAACACAGCCCCTGCCCCGCACACATAACTTGGTAAACCCAAGTATGTGAGCAGCAAAATGAATTGACCTAGTGTCGTCATAAAATGGCAAATCCACAAACAGCTGTAGAAGCATGAGAAATTTCTAAATCATATAGTTATTAAAGCGAAAAAACAAGGTACTGCTAGTAGTTCCTTTGTTTACTAAAATCCTGCAGAAACATCAATACCAACAATTTTAATGAAAAGATAATGACCTATCCAAGGCCAAACAAGGGGCTACTGCTCAATTCTTTCACATGTATCATGGGACTGCACAAAAGCCCCACATCCTAAAAGCTTGGATATTTGACACATGTCAACGTATCCAGCAATCTTTTACAAAGAAAAAAAAATAGCCTACCAAATATGCTTAAAAAGCATTGGACAAAAACCAGAAACTGAAAATATAGACTTAAAAATAAGCAGAATAGCCAAGAAACTACACATTCAGCTGATACAAATGAAAGAGATGATGCTCCGGACAATTGGTCAAATGATACCAGAACATTTTTGGCAGAAATGTTACCAACACCTTAACAAATTTTCCCAAGTTTGTCACATAGGCTGCATTTGGTAAAAGTGCAAATGCTGAACCAAAGAAAATTTGCACTCCGGTTAAGTTTTGCAGACATTTGGTAAGAATACATTTTTGTACTGAAAATGACAACATTTTTTCTTGGACATTATTTGCATTCAAAATGGGAGCAAAGGTTGCTCCCAAAAAAATGGATGCAAACTTTGCAATGAAAGTTGGTCAATGTAAAAGATAAAAAGAAAAAAAAAAAAAAAAAAAGAAGTAGATTCAAGTCATGGAATTCATGTTTCTACCCATCACAACCAAATACATTTGGCAAGAATACAAAATTTATCAATGCAAAACCAAACCAACTTTGCGTTTTCATAAACCATACATATTTGTATTTGCATTGAACATATTTGCATTTGCACTCTTACCAAATGCAGCCATAAGGGGAAAAATCCTCACTTGTTGAAATTCTTAAGGCTTCGACCTCAACTATCTGGTCATGACTCATGATGGAGGAAAGAGCAAGCACTCTGCAAATTATGTCAGGCAGAAATGAGTTTTAAGCCTTAAGACATGTTCAGCCTGTCAATGTGTATTTGACCCCCAGAATAGATACATTACATGGTGACATAAACAATCAGGATATCAAATGCATGTGTTAACATCGGAAAAATCCATTGGACCTACAGTATGAAACAAATTCAGACATACTAACCTCAAGAAGTCGGCGCCACTCCTTTCCAGATAACTGGACAAGAAAGACCCAGATAAACTTAATCAGGATTTAAAAGAATCTGCCCTGTGTTAACCTTAAAATGTAGTTGATGATCAGAGAAAGATGCAGAAGTCAAACACTAATACAGTGCATTACTCGACAAAATGTGAGGATGAGTAAAATTCAAGACTAGAAATGAATTCGGAGGTCGAAGTTGCATGCTAAAACCAGAAAAGAGAGTGCAAGAAAACCATTAAAAAAATAAATAAAAGTTCTTTTGACCAATGCATGCAAGAATTTCTGAGAATGCAAAAGGACAAAAGATGCCAACCGACCTTATGTAGAACAATGTCAAAAGGACCTTGATCAGAAAGTGACCTGTTCTGGTCAATGGCTACAAAGAATATCCCCTTATTCCTGCATCATTTAATGAATGTCTGTGACCAACAATTATTTAATACAATGGAAAGAAACTCCAGAGATGGAAATAATAAAGAGAGGGTTTGAACTCTGAAATGCCTCAAAAAACAACGAAAAACTAGAAAATGGAAAACAAAATAGAGTATAAGTCTATGAGATCCTATCTTCGTCAAGAAGATGCTAACTCAGTCAATTGTTCTCAGAAAATTTTCTTCATTGTTACTAAATTTCAAATTAAAATATTTGATAAAAGAAAAAAAAAAGGCAATCACTGTATAAAATATTAAAGTAATATTATTAAGAATGTAAAAAAAAAAAAACATTACAATAATAACGATATCATTATTATCACAAAGCAAAGAGACATGGTAAAGCTTACAGACAGTGGCCATGTCAATTAGACTTATTGTTTCAAGGAAAATATCTTGTGAACAAACAAACAAATAAAAATAGAAAAGGAAGAGCAGAAAAATCAACAATTCATCTAACACATTCAACCATTAGCAAAATCCAAGAAGCAGTAGTTGCTCAAGCATAACCATAGGAAGTAATCGTATAAGAAGTAAAGCTTATTTTTCTTTGATTTAAATAATAACAACTTATCAGACAGGAAGTTACATGTCAATTTAGAACTTCGGGTAAATGCAAATAGTGAGAAATAGAAAATACGATGATTAAAAAACTGAGACAAAAATATCCAACAATTATTTATGTGCAAAAACATTTCTGTACACAGATAAATTAATATTAATATGCATAAACATGAAATAATGCAATTTTCCTACGAACCATGGGAGTATGAAACTCAAACGAGAACCACTCAAACTTTGCTTCCATTTATAGATCTCAGTAATCTGAACCTCAGAGAGTCCGAGGAACATAAAACTGATAATAAATTAAGGGCATGTAAATGCATTCTTTAAGACAAAAGTTGCACAAGGGCTGAGACTTTAATATTTTTAAACCAAAGTACATGAGAATCAAGAATTGACCTCAAATGCTTTCGGCATATCTCGAGGAATATTCTAATTGTATTAAAGATACCAAGAACAGCAACTGAGGATATAAATTCAAATAAAAAATATCACGTATGGATTCGACAAAAAGAAATCCCGAAATAGGAAATCGACTGAACAGATGTTTCTATTATTATAAGAGAAATCCACCGTTAAGAAGACGGATGCCATATTGGATGCAGATTGAGTGCTTCAAAACAAGTAACCTAAACAAATAAATCATTTTCTCCACAAAATCTCTGTTGCAAGAGATATGATTCATATGGCTACAGAAAGCCGCAAAACCAAAAAGTAAACGACCGTCATTCCTCGGGTAAAATTCACCCACTCAAGGAGATGACGAGGACCATATTTGTCATCACGGATCAAAACAGAGAACTAATCTGGTGGCATACTCACGTACGCATGCACCAAAAGGAGATGAAAAAAAAAATATGAAATTTTTTATCAGTTATCTGTAAAACAATCTAGTTGAAGATACAATCGAACCAGTAGTAGGCTAATTAATCTTAGTGGGAAAGGAGTGATTTCCAAATTTCCTTCTTCCTCGATAAGGAAATGTAAAACACTGCAATATAGCTATTGGATGAGAGACATAGACAAAAAGGAGGTAACCAAAGAAACGCAGAGAGAGAGAGAGAGGGAGACGAAATGAGACGAGAAAATCAGTAAAGAAGAATTATTAGAAACTCAGTTCCAACGGCTTAAATTAATCTATTACCTAGCCAACCCTTCAAGCTTTGGCTGCAAAAAGCTCTTCGTCTTCTTCGACGTCAAAGCATAACCAACTACGAGTTTCTGCGGATGCGGAAACCCAAGACCGATGGAACACGACTGGGAAATCCTGTCGTTCTCCTTCTCCTCCTCATTTCGATTGGAGATCTCTCCGTTAAACCTCATGCCCGTTGAAAACACCCACAATAACAGAAATAGTGATCACAGAACAAAAACCCTAGCCTTATAGATTAGCTTAATGTTTTCTCCTTATTATTCAATCCTAACACGTAAAACCAATAAGATTTAGAGGTGAAAATGTTCGATTTGAAAAACACAAGGCCCCTCGAAACGAGGAACTGCAGATCGAGCTCTGTTAAAGAAAACCCTAAAAATGCGAATCCGTAGGTTCCGCTTGCTTTCGTGTTGTCTTAGAGTTGATGTTTTCTACTCCAGATTTGGCAGAATAAAGTAGAAGATCGCTAGACTTATAGAGGGAACTTGGAGTTAGGCGGAAGGAGAGGAGCGTCAGTTAGCAGTGGCGAGAGAGAGAGCGAGAGGGGGAGATGTCAGATGTGTGGGTGGCAGTGAATAAATACGTGCGGAAGAAGACTAGGAAGCTTCGCTGGCAATTTATTTAACTTCCCAAATTACTCTGTTTATATAATTTAATTACTAGAAATGCCATTATTTTTTAACTTACAGATATACCCTTACACAGTATCATTTACATTCGTGCTGTCGTGCACGCACCTGTATCCCTTGATATGCTACACGCCACAACCATATGATGTTAGCTTTATTCAATTAAATTAGTAAAAATATCAACAATCGTAATGAAAATCTGAAACCCTATTAAATTTTATTTTCTCTGTTAAAACCATCGTTAGATTATCTCTCTCTTCACTGTTCACATTTGTAAACGGATTCGAATCCGTCGTATTTGATCGGATGTGGTAGGATTCGATTTGAATTCAAGTATTATCGGTAAGTCAAATCTTTGGATTTTGTTGTCTGCAAAATTAATAAATTATTAAAAGAAATATAAAATATAAGTATTTTAAATAAAATATAAGTATTTTTTAATTATTTTATTATTATATATTATAAAAAAATTTAATAATATAACAAATTTATAAATAAATAACATATATATGTATTATATGTTTATATAAATATATAATATATATTGGATCGGATCTTTTTGAATCGGATAGGGAATGATCCAAATCTGATCTGATTTCTAATCAGATCCTATTATTTGATTCAAATTCAACCAAATAAGATCTGATCTTGAATCAGATCATGAATCAATCCATTTGCACCTCTAGTAACAATTCCCCTGTTTTCTTAAAATTCATTGTTTTTTTTCATGAATTTCTTTGAATTCCTTTAAACCCTCCCAATAAAACAGAATTTTATTACGCTCCCATATTATTTCCATTCCATTCCATATGGTAGATGTTAAAATCACCTCATTCAATATTTAAATTAATTTAGAACAACTTAAAGGAAAGAATCATAACCTTATCATCCGCTGAATTACATGATTCATGAAATAAGCAAAACTTTTTATAATAAAATAAAGTTATAAATTAAATTGATTGAGTTAGGTTAAAAATCAACTCAAGACTAACCCTAAACATTAACCTTGGCCTATACTCGTATTAATATCAAAACCCAAATTTGCGTAACCAAACCTAACCAAATTTGTATCCAACCTTACATTGCATACTTTTGTTGTCTGTTACTATTATCCTGGAACCAAACAAGCTGCTCAATGACTTACCATGATTTCAATGCACGGGGTGCCACTAGGTGCCACATATCATGACGAAAATAGGAATATCCTCTAAATACGGGAGCCTCTTTCTTCTGACACTTAGGCTGTTTGTATTATTTTCCATATTGAACTTTAATGAAAAAAAGCTTTTAAGAATGTTGCAGGGTCTTTAGTGGTTGAACCTGAAACTGAACAGACTATTATGCTTTTTAAATATTTTATTATTAATCATTATATTTACTAAAAGACAAAACAATAAGTCTTTCAGTTTAGTAATTTCAGCGGTTATCAACGGCACCTTTAATGTATTTAAATGTAAAAAGGTGAGGGGCATATGAAATTAATTCTATCCAACTAAATGCAGTATTTTCAGCAGTTAGGTTCTATTTGTTTGCAAAGCATCTGAATCAAATACAAATTTTGTGTGGGGTTTAGATTTCCATCTATTTGTTTCCTTTGATGCAAAATTTCCATTTTTTGTTTTGCTTGCATCATTGCAATGCAAATTTTACATCCCAAAAATAATTGATGTGAATTTTGCACCACCTTTTTTTTTCCTACTTTAGCTCTATCTCATATGAAGTGGGAATTACATTATTTTATTTCTCAAGTTATTCCTCACAATCAAACAAAACAAAGTCAAACCTTAAGTCAAATAAACTAAAACTCACATTCAACTCGTTTGCATTCACATGCATTTATACAAGGTCTATTTGCACTACAAACAAACAGAACCTTAAGTTGTATTTGGTTGCAGTGCAAATTCTTTTGAACTGATGCAAAACTATGGTAGTGTAAATGGTTTGGCTGCAAGTTTTGATTTATTTTTGTTTTAAATTTTACTTTACTTTGTTTGATTGAATTAAAAATGAAGTAAAATAAGATCTAAAGTATAATAAAATAAAATTCAAAACAAAATTAAACCAAAATACATTTTTTTCATTTATACTCCCATACGTTTGTACTAGTGCAAATAAAATTGCACTAATGAGAATGAGGTAAGTTTTGGCACAAGTTTCAAAATATAATATATCGTTATTTTTATTATTATATAGCACAACACATAAGAAGAATGAAGCAGACAGTAGGCTTGCCCTCAAAATTGAGGAAACATAATTTCGACATTACACAATGCGAGATATAATTTCAACTTGGAAGTAAAAGAATCACATATGTAGTGAGGGGCAAATTTGTATCCACACTATTCTAGCAGCTTTTTTCCAACCTTGCATTTAGAATATCTTCTCATGTAATAAAATATATAATTAGGAAGATATTTTCAATGCAAGGCAGTAAAAGTTGCTTGAACGGGCTTTGCCCTGATTGAAGTCGAACTCATATATAGTGTTGACGTGGCAATTTATCAACTTGAAATGGAAACGCTGCCAAGCAAAGTCTAAATTTCTAAATTTGCTATTAGAAGTGTAACAAAATTCCCTCTCATGGTTTGTTTGTAATGCAATTTCATTTGTGTTAATGCAAAAAACATGGAAATGCAAATTAATTGAGTGTAAATTCTTATTTGTATTCCCATACAATCATATTTAGTGCAAATGAAATTGCTTTGGCAACCAAGCAGAGCCTCCCATGACATATAATGATGCACAGTCATTTATAACTGTAGACCCATCATCATACCATTGTTTTCAAAATCGGATCAGACCAGATGGTCGGATCAGAAAAACTGGGAATTAGTCACCTGGCTGGTTCTGTTTCACCCCAAAATCGTTATTTGACCAGAAAAATGTTGATTTGATTAATGAACCGCTGACCAAGGCAGTTAAACTGTAACGATTTTTTACTTTTTTTAATTTTTTATTTTTATCAAAACGGGCCATCTATTTAGACCAATGGTCAGACCGTTCAACCTAGGATCCATTCCCCAATGATTTCCTGTCTGATCCGATTTTAAAAACCTTGCACCATACCGTAATAGAATCTCAACAGTACTGCCCGGGTACAGGTTTTAGGTATATAATGCTAGGCATTTCAGCCGAGTGCTAGATTGTGTTTTATGAGCCAATTGAAGGGTCCCAATCCCGGTGGGAAAGTAACTCTGGGAGATCACTGTACTAATTGGATAATTTGGATTGTTTTCTCAACCATTTTGATGCATCGCGTCCCATCCTAACAAAAGAAAATTGAGATTGGATGAGTGAAATCATGAAATCGATAATTATAATTGGGTTATTTTATATATTATATAGAAAACCAAACACAATGCACACTCACTTTTCTGCCGATGATCGGTTGAAATCGATAAAATAAAAGGTTATTTTTCTGGCGTGATTGAGAAATCCCCATGGCTATATTTGGTCTGTAAAGGTTTTTTTTACCTTTTATTCCTTTTCCTACTTCTTCCTTCAACATATCATAAATTAAAAAAACTAAATAATTAGCTATCTACGTTCAACAGCATTTGTTAGCTGGCCATCTTTTCTCGTGATACGGTAGTTTATATAATATATAAAACAGTGCAAAAGGCATGATTGTATGAAATAACATATCATATATATGCGTCAAACGTGGACAGCCCAAGTTCCGTTATCCCAATTGACCCACCGACCCACCATTTGAAACCATAAAGTAAATATCTTTATCAGCTAAAAACATCTAAACCACTGTACTTCTAATGGCTTCAAATATCTGGAAGTCTAACTTGGATGGCTAAAAGTATGATCATTCCCTCACGTTGAAACAAATGCAGTCTTAGGCAAAGAGTTTTGATATGCAAGGACTCCTTATTGCTTAATCAAGACATTTAGGCAATAGCTCTTTACCATGGATTATGATTGAGAAGGGGAGATATAATACTAGGCAGCTGTACAGTAATTGATCATCCACATAAATCTGCTCAATGCTATCACCAAAATAATATCACATTTAATGCTCTTATTTGCAAAATTTTTCCATCTTTTTATCTATTCAACTTTCAAATTCCACCCTCTCTCTTTGGATATTTTATAGTGATTAGTTAAAGCTAATTGTATAAACTTTTAAAATTTAACAAAAGATTACCAGCCCATCTATCTATATAATTGTATGTAAAATGCAACAAAATCCCCCTTCAAAAAGTTTTAATATGAAACCCCACTAAACACAAACAAATCGGAATTTGTATTCCTCGCTATCCTTCTCAATTCATGTTGCAATCAGTGAGATTTTGGAGGGATTTGATGGAAAATGTATGATTCTTATGAGTGTCAGAGTGGGGGCTGTTCAAGCAATGAATCAAATCATGCTACATTTTAGAGATCTGAAGGTTTGGGTGGATGATAATGGGAGACAAAATGAGTGGTTCCCTTTCTCAGGATCATTGCCGAGAGAGCAGAGTTTTCCATTTTCTCTGTAAGATTCTATTTTTTATGTAGAAAAAGCAAATGAGAAAGACATTTATATTATTTTGTTTTTAGCAAGGTAAAATGCCGTGGTGTCTTAAGCAATAATTTTATCCTAATGTCTATAACACCTCTTTTTTTTTCCATATATCCCTAAAGAGGCAAAGGTAAATTGGCTCAAGCTGAAGATTTCAGATCATTAAATTGGTCAACTCTCTAATTGTTGATACCTTTTTTTTCCCTTATAACATTAGGTGGACAATGAGATTATAATTTATTCTAACCTGATTTTATCCACCTCAACAGCAATGGGATTTAATCCTTACAAAACCATCCCTACATCTTCTTCAAAGCCCCTTGCAGATATGCATTAAGAATAGGGTAAATTTTTTAAACTATCCTTATGGTTTAGTTAATTGACTAACTCTATTTTTACTGTTTGAAAATTGACCA